TCCAGGACCTCAGTGTCCTTCTTGTACTGTGGTGACCAAAACTGGACACAGTACTCGAGGTGCGGTCTCACGAGTGCCGAGTACAGGGGCATGATCTCCTCCCTCCTCCTGCTGGTCACAGTGAGTCATGGACCTGCAATGTGGTGAGCCTGGTGCTCTGCATTGCTGCTGCAGTGTCTGCAGGTGCAGGAAAGGCAAGCCACACACAGAAAAATAAGCCCGGTCTCGATGGGTGCACCTAGGTAGCCACTCGCCTACTGCATTGTGCCAGGATGTGCTACAGGGCCTGTCCTGCCCCCACCGAGAGGCTCCGAGTAGGCAGGAGAGGTCACTGTGGAGGCATCACAGGGAGGAGGAGATGGCTGCACCAGGTCTCCACAGTGGGCAGTGAGTGCCAGCACAGTTCCCGGCCCGTGGGAGCCCAGAACATTGCTGGCTCTGCCGGGAGGAAGGTGGTTCGTGACCAAGGGGTGATGGAGGGACCAGTGCCTGGTGCGTTTAGTGCCGTAGCTTGTTACCCCTGGCAGCAGCCAATGTGCTGAGGCTCCTGGCTCGGTCAACCGGCCGCAGGTTTGGCAGCATCCCCCAGAGGGGTTCTGTCAACTGCTGAAAGGAAGCAGAAGTGATCCTGGGTGATGCTCTGGGGGCTGTTAGAGGTTCACCAGCAGCTTTCTGTGGTCTGGCAAGCTGCCTGAGATTGTTGGTGCCTGGGTCCATGTTCCTCCCTCCTCGCTCCCTGGCCAGCAAGGGCACCAGGTGTTGGGTGCACACAGAGATGCCGGTGCTGGGGGGCCTTGCGTGCTCTCCGTGCCCACGGCAATGTGACAGGACTGTGCCTTCATGCTGCAGATATGACGCAGGAAAGGATGGCTTCATTGACCTGATGGAGCTGAAGCTGATGATGGAGAAGCTGGGTGCACCACAGACGCACCTGGGCCTGAAGAATATGATCAAGGAAGTGGACGAAGACCTGGACAGCAAGCTCAGTTTTCGGGAGGTGAGAGGCTGGGGGGATCTCCACGCTGGCAGGGAGGTGTCCCTGGCTGCTGCTTGGCTCAATGCTGTGCTGGGGTGGTGGTAAGAAGGTGGGAAGGGAGTTGTAGTGGCTTTGAGCTCTCAGGGGAGCTGATGCCAACATCTCCCCTTGCAGT